AACAGTTTTTTTGACGAACGATTTGTACCACATTTGCTAATTCGTTTTATGAGTTAGTGTTCTTCAGTTCCCATTTGTGATTGAGTGCCTGTACGTTCGTTCTTTATGGGCCCTTATGCATCCCCGCCTGTTGCGTAAGTTGCGCTGCGAGGAGATGACCTTTTCAATAACCAAAATGGCAAAGAGGATGTCGCGATGAACACATAAGCGGGAGTGCCACACGTAAGGTAAGGGAAAAGTGAGAAATGGAGAAAGTGTTAAGAGAAAGTTCCTCTTGAGGGGGAAACGAACGAATTCCCCCCCGCGCACCACTCGTGACCCTTCTGCATAAATACAAATGATGAGAATACCTTGTTGAAAGATTTTGATTTCACGATCAAATGATTGTTCAATCCTCTAAGAAGTTCTGACATCTTGTGCTTACAAAAGAAGGAGTTACATTGTGTATTCCCTCCATATGGGGGATACACCGGTCCGGGGAATGGACATCTGAAGGGGGGCATCTTCCCTGCCGTACCTGTGAAAGATTCAGCCCCCACTGCTTTGCACAAAGCAACATGAAAAAAAAATTCTTTCCCCCCCCCAAGGGAACTCAACTATAAAAACATAACACATTTGTGCGCCGCCCATTTATTAAACCAAATTACACCCTTGTGAAAAAAAAAAAACATTGAACGATTCGAAGAGTTATTATTGTGAATATTTTTTTAAAAATATGTTCAAGAATATTAACTTCAAATTTGTTCATATAACAAATGTATATACGGTGGCTTTTTAAATTTTTAATTTTAGAAATGTCAATCCATATATATCACAGAGAAGAGAGAACCGTCGTTTTGCGAGCTCCCGGCTGTGCACCCGTGTGTGTGTGATCGGTACAATTTGGACACCCAAGGTGCAAAGCACCCACCTACACGCCTACACATACATATGCTCATACTTTTATATTTTTTCTTTTTTTCATCCCCCTCGAAACAGTGTGTCCCCTTGGAGGTTTAGCCTCTTCGTATAGGCGGACGCAGACAAATAAGAAGCCCACTTTTCAGATCACTAGACTCGCATTTCCAGAAAGTCCCTTAGAAAATTTGACTTGATAAAAAAAAAAAAATTTCATACACGAAAGTTGAAGAAAAATTAGCCCAAATGGAAAAGACAGTCTGAATGTAAATATTTATAATATCCAAGCCCCACCCGAGAATAGTCCTGTTCCGTGAAATCACCCCAGTGCCAGAGACGCCTCTTTCCATTTTTCCCGCCGCTACAGTTTACCCCTCATGTGCCGAATGAGTTTAAGCTCAAAATATCCTGCAAGTATACATACACAATGGCGTGGAAAGAAAAAGAAGAAAAAAAAAAAAAAAAAAAAAAGGAAAAAAAGGTAAAAAGTTTTTTAATTTTTTTTTTTTTTTTTTTTTTTTTTTTTTTTTTTTTTTTTCCTCTTTTCATTCCTCGTACCCCCCCGCGTTGTGTAATTTTTTCATAACAGGAAGGAAGGTCTGAGATGCTGCAAATAAAGAAGACACAAAAGGGGAAAAGAACGATACATGTGGTTACAGAGTTTGTCGAAAATTCTTGTCTCCACATGCTTGGTTCTTTTCCCTTTTTGTTCCATTCCTTGTGAATTCTTCTTTAAACTCTTTTTGAGAAAAAAAAATATTGAAGAAATATTAATTAGCTACCAGAAATGCCAATCGTACATTTTTGGTCTGTCCCTTTCTCTTTTTTTTTCTCCTTTTTTTGGAGGGCGAAGGGTGGAGACCAAAAATGTATGATTTTGAAAAAGCTAATAAGCAAGTATACGCAATTGAGTTCGATTTTTGAGATTTTTCGATCGTCCTAATTGTGTACCTTTGCTTCTTTTCATGTATGTGTGTTGGGGGATGGTTCCCCCCTCCCCCACCTCCTTGGAAAAGAAGAAAGGGTTAACACTTTGGACACCTCCGAGAAATAACCTAATTCAGACTACTCGTAAATTCATTCGCACAAGGGAAGGGACAGGAAAAAAAGGAAAGCGCAGAAAAAAAAAAAAAAAAAGGCAACCACAACAATCGGACGTTTATACAGAGCCAGTATCACTACGACGAAGAGCCAAAGGAGTTATAACGCCCAGTGGGAACTACACGCACATACGTAGATATGCCTACGCCTTCATGATCAGGGCACGCAACCAAATTCACCACGTTATATTGGCACTCCTCCGGGAATATGCCTGGTGAGTACTGTATACATGGTACAATGTTATCCAGGTGGTACCTCTGCAGGGGGGTAGGAAAATGCCTCTAATTTTTTTTTTTTTTTGTTTCCTTCTTCACCCCATCATAAGCAAATGTATGTCTTCCCCATCTGTTTTTTAATCCAAAATGATTTTTCCCCACATCTATTTTGCCCCCATTTCTTTATTAAATTTGCGAACATGCGAACTAAAGGGGTGCTACCATAGACACATGTATATTCATCAACTAGCGCTTGTGCGCGAGGGCACGTCTACATATACATAGTAACATATTTTAACACGCATTGCGCAAGAGGGGAATGACAACTCCCCCTGTGTTACGTCTACCTTTTAAGCGAGAGGGGGAACATGCGGGGACCCCCTCCCCCGTGGGAGGAAAATAACCCCAGTATAAGTGAACGGGTTAAGCATGCTCAGCTTGCAAAGCGGGCAAAAAAAAAAATGAAACAAAATGAAACAAAATGAATCACAAAACGGAACGTAAAGTGAAAGATGCAAATCACAAAGTGAAGAAAAAAACGAACGGGATTTGAGCAGTTCCAACAAACATCGAACGCAAAACTGAACAGGTAAAGATGGAAGGAAAAAAAAAAAAAAAGAAATAAAGAAACTTCCGTCCCCTGCTCCGCAAATTCACCTGGCTGTAAAAAATATCTCGCGTCATTTACCAATCAGTGAAAGGACGCGCGTTTCTGATAGTCTGCGTTTCCGCGGAGATTTTCCTAAACAGAGGGGAAGCGATGTCCCCGCGGTTCGTCAGCTGGGCCTCTCCCCTTGCCATGACCACATTATAAAGATCTACGCCCCGCCTAAGCGGAAAATTAATGAGCAATGTTAACTCGCAACTTTAACGCGCAGCATTCACGCCCAAAGTAGTTACTCGCGGCGCGCTTCACCTTTATGAGCTCCTTTTGATTGTCACCATTTGACGGACATGCCTCCTCAAAATAAAGGCGGATTAAAGAAAAAAAAAAATCCTTTTCCCTTCTATTGCATCTTGAATACGCGCTTGCTCGAGCGCCCTTTTCTCAAAGGGAGAAGCAGCGCGAAGTTAAAAGAACTGAAAGGAGGCAAAAGAGAACTAGGCAACCCCAGTTGATAGCAAGGAGCAGCAGCTGATAGGACCCAAAACGAGCTGATAAGAAGCAACAGCACCTGCGATGCCACCCACCACCACGTCAAAGTTCAGCCCAAGTAGTTGACGCTAGAGGGGGGAGTAAGCCAATTTTCTTTCAAGAAGAGCCAATAGCCGAATAGCTTCCCCGGACGGTGACAAATGACCGATTTCTTGAGGTAAAAACGGAGGACACGGGTGTGCGCCTGGGCATATACCATAATAAGAATAACGTGGCCCTGAGACCCCGTGCTATGAGTACCCAGCCCACAAACGCGCCAGACGACCCACTGCATAATCTTCCCATCCTCTTTCTGTTTTTTTCAGGAATTTGCCCAAGCCGAAGAGGAGGCCCTATGAGTACGCTGATGGGGAAGAGGGCGGGAGGAGGGGTGACGGAAGTAGAGACGATGGAAGTAGAGACGACGAAAGCAGAGACAACCGAAGTAGGGACAACCGAAGTAGAGACGATGGGAAGAGGAGCCACGGAAGCAGAGGTGATGGCAAAAATCAGTGTTACGAGTACCTGAAGAGGAGATACCTGCGAATCACCTGCAACGAGGACTTCCAGGGAGGAGGAGCCTACCCGGAGATCCACGTCAATCAATACCCAAACGACATGGGCCTTCCAGAGGGTGGTGGCGGAGGCGGCGAGAGAAAAAGTACCAAAGGAAACGTAGTGCTAAAATATCTGGACGAAAATAACAACGTAAAGTACGACAACCTAATAAACGAAGATGTCCTCATCTACAACCAACAAATAGAAACAGTAGAACCAAACGAAAAAATACAAAAATTAAGGAAAAAAAAAATCCTATCAGATGCAAAAGATAAAGAAGAAAAGTTCAATGAACTAGCCGTCTACAAACCAAATGAAGAGGAAGAAAAAGAAATCATAGACAACACAAGAAAAAATATTGAACAAGTAATAAATGATAAGTCAAACAAAAGTATAGCAAATAAGAAGGAAGATAAATTCTTTAGATACATTCCTCAAAATAAACTGAATCAAAATTTAGATGAAAGGATTATCAAAGTGGTCCATAAAACAGTGGACCCCTTAGACGTGTCCAAATTTAAACATAAGAAGTTACCAAACGTAAAGAACTCTCCTGATTATCCTTTGTTAAGATCTCCTACCAGAAAGATAAACAAAGAAGAGGAGGATAATTGGAAAATCCCCCCTTGTGTCTCCAACTGGAAAAACAACAAAGGATACAATATTCCATTGGATAAACGAATCCAAAGTGATAATAAAAAACTAAACCAAGTGGAGATTAACGAGAATTTTGCACACCTAAGTGAGTACCTCTATGTGGCGGAGAAGAAAGCTAGGGAAGAAATCAAAATGAGGAACAGTATCATTAAACAGAAAAAATTAAAAGAAAAAGAAGAAAAGGAAAATGTTTTACGAAATCTAGCTATACAGGCAAGAAAAGAAAAAAGCCTTGCACAAACACAGAGCTCCATTATCAACGAAAGAAAAAGAGAAATCGAAAGAGATTACCGCATCGAAAAGAATCTTAAGAAAATGAAAAATTATGAAAATAGACTCATTGAAGAACAATTTGCTCTCAACAAAGTCAATGTCAGTAAAAACAACAACATCCATGATATCAGCCTTTTCAATATAAACAACCAGAATGACGATGGAAAGAATCAACTCGCTGCCAACGACGATGACCTGTACCAGATTTACGACACTTCTCTGTTTAACTCCAAACAGAGCAACAATATTTACAAATTCTCCAACGAACGGGTCAGGAAGACGCTTCAAAAGATGGAGACCACGCAGAGTGCCGCTGAGCCGGTGAAATTCATCAAGGACATCTCCGACCCCTTCGGCCTGGACAGCCTGCTCTCCCAGGCCAAGAAGAAGTAGCGTTGTATAGCGATATGTAGCGGCATGGCGGCATAATGACCTACTATCTCAGCCGCATGCCGCTTTACTCTGCTTCTTTTGGGAACCCCCAATTTCCTTCAAACCGCGTGTCCTCCCGAGCGGCGTACCATACGCATGCGCATTTTGTTTCGTGTCCCCTTCTTTTTTGCTTTTCCTCTGCCTTTTTTAGGTTCTTTATTTTTTATGTTTCTTCCCCCCAACCTATGCCATTTGTGGCAGTTGTCCCGTGATCAAACCAACCATGGGAGACTGCAAAAATAATTACCGATGTGCACTCGCATGCCGAACATACGAGCGAGCAATTTTTTCTTCGACCCGTTTGATCAATTCCATCCGCTTACTCATTCGTCATAACGGCAGTGTGTGATGCCCTCCCGCAGGGTGCGCCGCCCCCGAATACGAGCAACAAAGCGAATGAAGGGAAAGACGCCTTGGTGCCTGCACCATTTCAAAGGTTGGCTGATCCGCAAGGGTGTGTCACTCCATCGCGAAGTCGTCTCATCATGGCGGTACCAAAAAATTAAACGCCATAAAAGGATAAATAGACAAAGGCTATCGATAGTTAGCATTACAGGCCGACACAAAAAAAAAAAAGAACATGCAACATGACGAGGAAACTATCGATGTGAACTGGCCAAGTGCAACCCAAAATGGAATGCAAATCTGAACCAACGGAAAAACAAAAGGAACAAAGATGTGAAGAGGCACGATTTAAGGGGGCTCTCGACATCGAAAGAACGCGTCACGAGGAATTTGCACGGGGAGTGACTCAAAGGGGAAACACGACATAGGGAGATTCCCATCTCTCGGGGTGATACAACAACACGCCACATACGAGCGACGCATTTTATGTGGGCAGGTAGAGCAGCCACCATCCGTTCACGCTTCGACAAAGGCATCTCGGCAGTTACCCCAGATGCCCGAGGACCCCGGAGATCAGTCGCGGCGCGCACAACCAGTTACAGAGGCCCCCTTAAAACCGCTTCTAACCCCCGCAACTGCTTCTAACCCCCGCAACTGCTTCTAACCCCCGCAACTGCTTCTAACCTCTGAAACCACTCAGAAGCCGAAGTAGCCCGAGAGGCCCAAATTCCCGTCCATGTTCCTGAAGGTCCTGAAAAAAGTGGAAATCCTGGAGAAGCCATCGGCCTCGTCCGACAGGTCGTCAAACACAGAATCGAACCACGAACCCGTGGCGTCTTCGCTGTTCAGGTAGAATCCGTTGCCGCAAAGATTCTTGCCATCACTTTCATCGGACGAGGAGTATATCCAAAAATTCGAGTGCGTATAAATGTGCTCATATGGAGTGCCAGTCAGTATCTCCCTATTAATCCCATCAATGATGTTTTTATTTAATTTTATCTTCCCCTTCAAATGGTGCAGCTTTAAAACGGTTTTGCGAAGATCTACCGGCAGACTTATACTTCTTGGCCTCCTCTCCTTTGGACCTTTTTGCATATCTTTCTTCTGCTTCGTTTTGGAGACTCTGCCTGGGTGGAGGAAGCCCCTCATTACCTTTCCAGTGTTGCTACTCTGATGGGGTAGATTCTCCTTCGCTTCTCCGCTGGGGTTCCTTATTTTCTCATTTTCTTTTCTTTTTCCTCTCCCTTTTCCTTCTCTCTTGTGGCGGTCACTCCCCCGTTTTCCCTTCCTAGACAAGTGATGGCCGCTGCATACCTTTGCATCCGGCGCTTGGGCATCCTCCAAATGGCGATGGTGGGGAAGAGCATGTGTGTGAAGAGGGTGTGTGGGGGTTCCTTCAGGGATGTGTTGCCTCCCCCGTTTAGCTAAGGACGCATCGGAAGCCTTGTCCTCCTCTGGGCGTTCCTCCATCGCTTCCCGTTTTGCTTCCCCTTTCGCTTCCACCTTCTCCCCCTCTCCCCACCCCTCCTTGTGAACGGCGCAGCGGGAGAACCTGCTCCTTCGAATAGCGTCCCGCGCAGGCTCCACCACATCAGCCACTGCTTCTACCACGGTCATAGGGGAGGAATCCTCCCGTGAGGGGGGTGTCCCTTCTCCTGTGCCTGCTCCTGCATCTGCTGCTTTAGCTGCTGGTTTAGCTGCTGTTGTATCTGCCGCTGTACGTGCCGCCGTATCTGCCGTCGCACCTGATGCTCCTCCCCCGCCGCCGAAACACACGTACACAAGACGGCACAACTCGAACATGTTGAACGCCTTTCCGTTCACGTAAAGGACAAACTTCTCTACGGAGCTAAGCATGGCTCCAACGTCATTCTTCCTCCTCCGCCTGCTCAAACTGGTAATCCCGAGCAGCGAGTCAAAGAGAGAAACCAACTTGACATATAAAAGGTACACCTTCTTAAAACAAAAAATGCAGACGTTTAAGTATTCGGTGTAGAGCCACAGGTAAGTGTCACTACGACCCATGTCGTAAATCCTCCTAATCATCTTATCGTCCGCTCCTTCGAATGCCATCTTCAGTAACTTCCTTATGGAAAACACATTCTTAACAAAGTAGGTTCTATCATTATCATATAATTTTTCGTCTATATTGGTCTCCACATCATCAACAAAATTATCTGGGGAGCCATCATGCATCGTCACTTCTGTCGGCATCTGCTTGGTAGAGCTTCTGCCAGAAACGATATCGGATCCTCGTCTCCTCCTGGTGCAGTGTTCTTCACTTTTTCGAGGCCCCTTTGGCATACCTTCCGTCATTTTGTTATCAATCCTCTGTGTAGAAACTTTGCCAACACCCGAGATCTCCATCTCCATGGAGCCATAAACGAGCATCTCTTCAATGCTCGTGCAGATTGTTGTTTGCTGTCCCTCTCCTGCTGCTCTATGGGAGCCTGGGATCATCACTGGCTCCTTGGTTGACGGAATTTGCCCTGTTAACGCTACTTTTGTGGGACTTTCCCATTTAGTTTCCTCCACTCCAGCTGCTGATCCGGCTGCTAATCCGGCTGCTAAACCAGCGGACCTGGCCTCTCCCTCCACTGCGCCCTTCTTCCTCTTCCTCAAAAACTTATACTTGGTGTGCTCGGAAAAATTAATAGAGAAACCGAATCTCTGCAAAAAGAGCATATCTCTGTAAAGCTGATCCATTTCATGTAGATGCGAGCAGATTTCACTTTTCCTCTGCTCATTCATGGAAGCTATTTTACTCCAATTCGTCTTCACAAACTCGTCCAGGTTTTTAATGACTCCACAGCCTTGGTTAAAAAGGAGCAAATTATTCAGCCCTGGAGGAAGGCCCTTCTCAAATTGACATTTATGGCCACAGTTCAATTGGGGTTCTGAACCCACAGACAGATCCTCACTCTTCATCTTCTTAAAAAAGGAATAACTCTTAACTCTCTGTTTATTCACATCGCCTGTAGGTTGTCCCCCCTCAGAGCCGCGCATATGGTACATTTGACACATCTCACCTTCTGGACTCTCATCCACTTTCTGCTCCTCCAATTTGTTGTCTGATTCGCTGTGACTCCTCCGGACATAGTGCTTGGGACTACTACCCAATGACATTTCGTCCTCTTCTCTCATAAACAGGTTAGCATGATTCGGATGACTAATCTGGTCAGGGTGCTTCACCCTATTTTTCTTGTTCTTCTCCTCCTCTGCACCTTCTTCTCCATTCCGCTTCCTGACGGTCCACAACTCCGAGAATCTTTGCGTTAAGCTCACTGTTCGCGCCCCCTGGCTCGAGTTCGTCACCGAGTCTCTCTTCTGCACCATACGTTTTGCGAACTCGCCATCCACTCTAAGTATGTCACGCCAGGGAGATGCTTCACCACAGTTCTTCGCTTCACTGAGGGGGGGGGGTTTTCCTCGCGGCTTGGAGGTAATTTCCCCACAGAGGCAGTTTCCACGGATGCAATTTTGACAGACAGATTTATCAAATACGCAGCCCCCACTGCCGATAACACCGCTGACACCGCCTCTCCCCCCCCCGTGGGAGAACATCTCCCGGTGACACAAATTGGCATACAAGTAGAGGTACAAAAAGAGGTAAGAATCCCCGAGGTCCTCCCCGTTCAGACACATGAAGCTGTAGTAGTTATGCTCGCTAACCTTAAGGACTCTTCCGTTGGCCGCTTTTATTTCGTTAAGTATGTAAATGAAGTTCTTGTAAATCTGGCTGTGCTTCAAATAATGGGTGATCACTCTTACCCGCGGTTGGAAGTCCTCTCTGGGGTAATCCCCCATTGAGCCAGACAGAACGAACCTCCCATCACCCCGTCCCTTCTCACCGTCGCGACGGTGGCGAACTAACCTCCGCACACACCTCTCCACACAATCAACAAAACAGATATCCTTCAACGCATCCATCAGCTGGTGGATGCTCCTCTTTAGGAACCTCTTTTCCAGCCGTGCGATGCTTTCGTTGGCGAAATGCTCCTTGAAGAAGAACAAAATGACTTGGCTCTCCAGCTGGGGGTGGAATTGAATGTGCTGCTCCATTCTGAGCAATTGTTCTTTTTCCAGGAGAAGGAAGAATTTTTCCACTTGGGCATCCTCTATGCTGTTTTCTCCGTTCTGCTCTCCCTTTTTATCTCCTTTCCTGTTTCCGCCTTTTTCTGCCCTTTTGTCCCCTTCTTTCTCCCTTACTGTGTCTGCCCCATCTTGCCGCAACCCCCCCAGCACTACCCCCCTCAACCGCGTGCTAGGGGAGAAGTTCTCCTCGAAGTAGACGCTCATCACATTTATTAGCGTCACGGAGAAGCTGTAAAAATTGGAGTAGTTGCACTTGTGTCGATGAAACTGAGTGATGGCCTCCCGGTTCACCCTGAGGAAGAGTTCCTTCGCGGTAGCATTTTCACCTGTGCAGCGGAACCGGCTGAGCTTCCCTTCCAGGCGGTGCATCAGTTCGGAGGGGCCCGCTTCGCCAGGAAAGTCGGAACCGCCTGGATGACCCCCCTCCAGACCGCTTCCATCCAGACCGCTTCCATCCAGACCACTTCCATCCAGACCGCTCCTACCCACGCTAACCGAGCAGAAGTAATCGCGCAAGAACTCCCCCCAGGAGAAGATCCTCAAATCCATGATCCGTTTCAATCGCCGAACCAGAAACGCATAGTCTTTCTCCACCCACACGTTGTCAACAACTCGGTGAAACAAATTCTTCACACACAGAAAGAGAAAAATCAAGTGTCTATACTTAACCAAGTGGGGGCTGATAACACTGTTGTTCTTGTTTTCAATGCCGACATAGTCTGAGTCGAAGGGAGACACCTTCAATATGCGATCGGTCTTCGTGGTGGGGCATCCAAATTCCTTCTTCTTCGTGCTGAACAATCCATCAATGCACTTTTTATTTCGGAAGTTCACAAAAATATTGTTAGACAAGTACATAGGAATATTACATGAGGCGATCACTGCGTTTATCAGATCACTGTCGTCGTAGAACTTGGTTATATTCAGCCTCTTGTAGTAGGGAAGGATCTGTGTGATGCCTACAAAGACGCTTCCATCTCGTTGGTTTAAAAAGTTGTAACTCCCTGAGTAAAGGTACTTGTTGAGCTCCACGTCCAACATTTTCTGCAGCTTCTGGTAACACCCGTTTTTGTACACATTGCTAATAATATTTTCAATTAAAAAAAAGCATTTGTCCACTCTCAAGCCGATACCCAAGCAGCAGGCACAGATGCTACCTGCCGATGAACCCGCTATACTTGTGTGCATATTGAGTATATTTTTTTCTATTAACAGACTGCTCACCCCTAGGTGGTATGGTATTAATAACCCCGCTGGGGAGAAGGAGATCCCGATATTCATTTGCTCCTTCCTTTCCTTCAGTAGATGACCCAACAGCATGCTGCCCTTTTTCTTCCTTCGCACCAATCCATACCTATTTATTTCGTACCTATTGAATACCTTCGTAAGGGTCTTCTTAATATACACGGCGTAGGAAGAATTGTCGCTTTTTCTCTTCCCTATTTCGCTCTCCCTTGGGGAGTCCAGACCCTTGCCCGGTACTCGTCTGTCTCGAGTTAACTGTGCGGAGTCAACATTCCCACGAAGGTGCGCCTCGTCTTCGGGTTGCTCCGCAAATTGCTTCTCGGGTTCTTTATCAGATTCCTCCTGAGGTTGCTCCCCAGGTTCCTGCCTATCCTTCCTCTTTCCCCGCACAGCGTCCATCCCCCTCCTCTTCGCACGACGATAATTTCTGTCCGAACTGTACAACCAAAAGCCTTCGTCGTACTTCCTACCCAGAGTGCTCTTCCGCCGAAGCGTAACTTTGTCTTCTCCTATCTTCACTCTTCTGGGTAGGTTCTTTTTCCATTTGCTAGGGCATCCTTCCCCCGCCTTTGCACTTCGCCCTCTTTTCACTTTACTCAGGAGCCTCTTCAGTCGTTTCTTCGGGTGGATCTTCTCCAAGGTGTCTGCGTCTCCCACGTCACTTGTGCGTCTTACCTCCTCCGCTACCGATACTGCTCCTCTTACTCCCACATCCCTGTGTGCATCCTTTTCGCCTGATGTATCACACCCCAAGGGCTCCTTCCAAATGGGGAACTTCCTCCTATCAATGTGGTACAAATAATTCCTCATGCAAGTCTCCACCTGGTCGGAGGCAATATACCGCTTCGACTTGCTAACCTTCTTATATATGTAATTCACATCAGAGAGGTCCTTCCCCCTTACGGAGTCGGTCCCCCCATTCTTCCTTACACTTTGAAAAAAAAAATAGAAAGAAATAAAGTTGGCGATCTCAATTTTCGATTTTATCGTATCGTCAAGAAAGCTTACAATGTACTTGTTATTGTGGAGAGTCATTTCTTCGATCTTTTTCTTGTTCCTAATTTTTACAGTTTCTTCACCTGTCCCTTTGTCCTCCCCATCCCCCTCGACCTCACACACCCCCTTGGTGCTATTCGCCGTAAAACCAAACCTGTTAATCTCGTTTAAGTTGAAGAAATTCCTGAAGTAGTTCTCATAGAAGAAGATGTTGACTAAGCCCTCGTCCAGGAGTCCCTTACCTTTCACTTCGACTGCCTGGCTACGCCCCTTCCGATCGTCCCTTCTGCCATCGCCCCCTGGCTCCTCCTCACACACCTTCTCCAAATCAGCTTCCTCCTCCTCTTCATCTTCCTTCTTATTAGTCTCCCTCCTATTGGAGTTACCCATTTAGGTGGAATTTTTACTCGCCCATGCACTTACGTGCTCCATGTGATTCCTCTCCTCAAATGAGTTTTTTCCTCTTTCCGCGTACTATCTTGAAGTGGCCAAAAATGTCATATGCTAAGTTCGTTCTCCCCCACCCTGTCCTCAGTCTCCACTGCCTCTTCGTGTATTTTAGCCACTGAGTGTGAAGAGCTTCCTGGAGAGGGAAAACAGTTCTGCGCTATCTCATCTTCCAGAAAGGTGTGGTCGTTCGCCCAGGCATATTTTCCCTTCCGGACCTTTCCAGCGGGTAGCGCCACTTCCCCGAGCCAATTTTTAAACCCCTCAATATTGCACTGTACAGGGTGCAATATATCTTGCTATCTATTCTTCTATCTATTTTTCTATCTATTTTTCCCTATATTTTTTGCGCCCTTTTTGTATTGTTCTCTTTCCTGTTGTGCCTCGTCTTGGGGGGAACTCTCCCGTCTCGTTCACCGCGTGAGAGCCAGTGATCACTCGGAGGGGTGACTTCACAAGAGCTGTTAACACAGAGGCTGCTACACACAGGCTCATACACAAAGACTGATACACAAAGACTGATACACAAAGACTGATACACAAAGACTGATACACAAAGACTGATACACAAAGAATGATACACAAAGGCTGTCCCACAATAAACCTTCCTCGAATTATTACATGGAGAGATCATTCAAAGGCGCCCCTACATGCCTCTCCCGTTCGCTTCGATTAGCTATTCTTGTGCACGCGCGGGAGTTACTGAATAGCTCATTCGACCTAGGCCATAGCACGTGAAGAAAAAAAAAAAAAAAAAAGCACGGATATCCCTCGGGCTGCTGCATGTATGCTTAAATGCGCCTATTTCGGATGTAGGAAAAAAAAACAAAAACGTAGTTAACGAGTGATCTTAGCTCTGCTACGTTATACTTCAAGTGGGGGTAGTACTCGCTTTTACTGGCATCGCCAATTAAGCCCCTCCTCCTTGAATTTCTTAATTCCTTTCGTGGGTACAAACAGGAAGAAAAAAAAATGCAAAATTGAGATTAGAATTGTTCCACTTTTTCCTTCTTCCTTCAAACTGTTACCTTAAAAATTGATAAAAACGGGGTGCTGCGTGTGTAATTCGAGTGGCTACAGTTTTTTCCATTAAAGGGGTGTGTTTGCGCAAGTTAGAAGATTAGACATGTAGGCAGGTACGAATAAGCATACACGATATAGACATCCACCTATATGCCTACATGTGCAGAATTAAAACCGGCGATAAGGCGCGTGTCCCAGGAATCGCAAAATGTAGAATTCTGCTAAGGGGGAACTGGCATAAAAATGAATCCGCGCATAGAAAGGCACAAATGTGAGAAGCACGAAAATCAAAGGGAGAAGATGCTCCTCCGAACTGCGGTGTTGACCAGGAAAGAAGGAAAGTCACACAAAAGGAAGCGCAACAGAGAGAAGTGAAGCAGGTAAAACAAGGCACGTGCGGCACGTAAAATCGTATACATTTGTGTAGCATACCTTCCTATGCAGCATTTGCGCACTTAACGAACATGACACATGTACACATAAAAACCAATACATTAAATTCCAAGTTTAGCTAGAAAAAAAGGAAAACTTTTTTTTTTTTTT